ATTAATGTCACGTAATGCATACATCGTAAGCACATAATATAATATTGTTTGTTATCTATTAAGTTATGCTAAACAAGTGGTAAAGTCATTGCAATATTTTCACAATTAGTGACTCACAAAACATGTAATACTTTATTGAAATAATTCAATAAATAATATTAGTGTGACATTTATGTGAACTAACCATTTGAATTGTCAAAACCACACCAGCAATCATAAACATAATGTTAAAAAAGTGTTAACTCTTTAAATATACCAAAATACTAATACTGGAATAATAATAATCACAAACTTCAATAATAATGTCTGCAATTTTAAATAAGTTTGGAATTTGTGCCCAAATTCCCGATCAATTCCCAAAACAAGAAATCAAATTATTTCATGTTTTTGATGATAAAAAAGGGAAAAACCTATTGTTTGTGACAACCAATGATCGGGTCTATGGGTTGGGCAGTAATAGTGAGGGAGTGTTGGGTTTGGGACACAACCGACCCATACATACACCCGAAGAAGTGCTGGAATTAAGTAATAATAATATACAACAGTTTTTCAGTGAAATTAACATTGTATTGGCTTTGAATAGCGATCACCAATTGTTTGGTTGGGGTTTTAAAACTCCGAATGGAGACACTTATAACAAACCAAAAGAATTATTATTATGTAATTCACGTGATATACGTATTGAGAAAATATCATGTAACCGGAGAATAGTTACTGTTCTTATATGTAATGACCGTATATTTCAATGGAGACATAAATCAATGGAAATACAAAATCCAATTGAAATACAATTTCCCGAAATAATTGTAGACATATTGTGTTGTGATTGGATGTCATTTGGCATTACATTATATGGAGAGGTGTTTATTTGGGAAGTGTTTGCAGAAAATAAGACAATAATTTCACCAAAACTATTAAGAAATGTTAATAATATAAGAACTGTTTGTAAGAGTATGTTGTCTGAGATTTTTATGTTATCATATGATAATCACGTCTACATATATGATTTGAATAATGAGAAGATTATCAGGATTACCAATTTGCTTTTTACTGATCTTGTTCAATTAAATGGTCATGATGATATTGCGGGAATTAGTGGCGAGAAAGTATATAAATATAATGAATGCAATGTTTTTATTGAGACTGAGTTTAACACATTTGATGAATACTTCGCTAATGAATATCAATTGAGTCATAAAACAATTGATATAACTAAATATTCTACATCAAATAATTCGTTTCAATACCCCAGTAAATATTATATTATTTTATATAACTATAACAAGAGAGAGAGAGAGAGAGAGAGAGAGAGAGAGAGAGAGAGNAAATGGTTGTATTCAGTGGTCTGCGTAGAGAGAGAGAGAGAGAGGTAAATTAGCATCTGTTTATTGATTTTCTTTTGTTTGTATATTTAACAGTTTTAGATACGAGTAATGAAATGAAAACGTATGAAATACAAAAAAGTTTAGGCACAGGTAGTTTTGGAGAAGTGTTTAAAGTAATGGATAAACGTAATGAAGAACAATATGCGATTAAAAAATGCTCATTAAATGGTAAGATTTCAAAAAAAATTATTTTAATTAGTAATATTTATAAATATTTAATACTTTATTATATGTTGTAGTTAAATATTTATGTAATTTTAAGGTCTGAATGAAAATCAAAAACAAAACATTTTAAACGAAACGCATAATTTGATAAAATTGCGCTCAGAATATGTCACTCAATACTACTATTCATGGATTGAAAATAACTGTTTATATATTCTTATAGATTGTTTGGCCGGAAATTTAACAGATTGTTTGCAAATTAAAGAAGAATTATTTGGGAAAATAATGACAGAATTTGAATATTATATTTTATATCATATATTTAAACAATTGGTGGAAAGTGTGGAGTATTTGCATAACAAGGATATCATTCACAGAGACATCAAACCCGATAACGTGTTGATTGACAATAAATACAGATATATAAAGTTATGTGATATCGGTTTGTCTAAATCCGTGGATGTATTGAGTGATGGATACAAACAAAGTAGTGTTAAACACACCAAAGATGTTGGAAATATTGAATATCAGGCACCGGAAGCGCAGACCTAGTGTGACCAGGTGATAAAAATATAATAGTGTACAATCATAGAAAATTTCGGTCAAAATAGTGTACAAATAGTGTACACAATATTTATTGAAAATTTTGATTTTAAATATTATAATATTTGATTTTTATTACAGTGGTTTATATTTGGCATTAGATTTAACAGCTTTTAACAGTTCTGTATTAGATTTAGCGAATAATTTAAATTCATTGCAATCCATTTTAAAATTAGTTTTTATGCAAATTTCGGCTTTTAATAAACCAATACTTAATCGGTTTCTTTCGTCTCTCCAAACTTTATGCATAAGACTGAACACTCGTTCAACAAAATCGTTATCAATAGGTATAGCCATTACTGATTCCACAACTTTTTCTAAATTTTTCATTTCGTGTTTCGATAGGATTTTACAATATTTTTCAATAGAATTAGCATTTGATTGTAATATTTGAGGATTATTTAGATATTCATTAAAAGAGTTAATTTCGTCAAAAAGTAAATCATTATTAATTGAAATATTAAGCAATTTTGAAATTTCAAACACTTTGTCATAATTCAGATTATTGTCCAAATTTAACGAACCAAATAATTTAAACGGCGATGAATTAAAATCAAAATGAGTTATTAAATAATTCAATGCTCTATTGTATACAGCTTTAGCATTAACTTTGAATTCATTTTGTATAGTTAAGTCAAAATACTTTGAATTTTCTGTAATATTTAATCCAAAAAATTCATATTTTATACGATTTTCGAGTTGTGTTTTAAGTTTTTGCATATAATCATAAAGATTTGTTGAATTCACAGTTGTTTTTTCAAATGTTTTAATTAACGTATGAAATATGTTCAATATTTGCATTGAGAAATGTAGATTAAGTTCATATAATGTAGTATTATTTTGTTTCTCACTATATACGAATTCCTTTATTATTTGAGGTAAATCGTCAGATTCTAATGTAATAAAATATTGTTTAATTGGTTCAATATTTTCAATTAAACGACTAATTGCTGGATATAAAGATAGCCATCGTGTGGGCACGTGTTTTAAAATAGATTTAAATTCATTGTCTGTTAAATCATAACACGATTTTAACGAATTCACTCGTTTTGCAGAGCATGAGAAATGTAAGTATATTTTAATTACTAGATTTTAGATATCATAAGGAAATTGATTGAATGCATGTTTGGCAGTGTTATGCAAAACATGACAATTGCAATTTGCCTTAACAATAACATTATTCATTTGATTAAATTTTTGATACACTGAATGATGGATACCGTAATTAACCGATGCGTTGTCACCACTGTATGCAATCATATTATTAATATTAATGCCATTTTCGTTATGACAATTAATTAACTTATTATGGATAGCATCGAATGTTTCATTTGAATCTTTATAAAAGTCTAATACAAAGTTATTAATTCCAGTTTTTATATCAAAATATTGTATTCCTATGGGAAACAATTTTACATTGCCTTTATTTGAAGCATCACTTGAAACAGAAAATAACTTTCCATTTATATTATTTAAATGTTTTTCTATTGAAAGTGGATATAACACTTTTTCGGCCAGTAATTCCATCTTCGTTCGGCCACATTGTATGGATTGACACACTTTAGAGTCTGTGAAAAGTTGTTTAATTAGTTTGATATTACAATCAGTTGAGCGATAGCTTAATTGGTGGGCAATTGTATGATATGTCAGACATATCTCAGATAGTGCTGTATTTTCACAATCATTTGGCGTTGATTTAGACACAAATTGGTTGAGTGTTTGATTTGATCTCATTGTTTGTTCATTAGATTTATGGATTGTTGTGTTCATGTGTTGGGATATACCGGTCACTCCCAACCATTTAATGGTAAACTCTTTGTTACATATATTACACTTTGCGGTCAAGTCATCCTTCTTTGTGAGCCAATCCTTAAATTGTGGTTTAATTAGCCATTCGTTGTTAAATTGAGTCGTCCTTCTCTTCGGATCCTTTGCAGACATTTTCACGGGTTGTTTAAATGTTATCAAAATTATCAGTAAATTATTGTGTTATTAAAACAAAATTACATTAATGATTGCCTATTCAAACATATTTATAAACAAAGTGTGTTAAACATGTGTTCATATCATTGTTTATTATAACATTAGTGAGAAATTTTTTGTTGAAATGTTTATGCTTTCATGTAATATTTTGGCTCATTAATTGTCTACAATTTTTTATGCACTAAACACATGATTCATATGACATATCGTTTATTGTTCAATACAAGCATTACGTGTACATAAAACAAAATGTTTTATAAAAGTTTTTATTTTTTGAGTTAATTTTTCTTAATGAACAATTAGTGTACAATAGTGTACAACATAAAAATAATGTACAAGGAGTTAAAATAGTGTACAATGTTGCCCAATAGTGTACACCTGGTCACTCTACGCAGACCACTGAATACAACCATTTAATAGATATCTATAGTCTGGCAATTACTGGGACACAAATTTTTGGATTTAATATAAGAGATATTGAAAACGGAAAGTATGTTATTAGTATATATGACATAAAATATACATATTTTATATGCTATTTATAAATTATCATTAAAATTATAATTTTAGATTGAATTTAAATTTAAAATTTAATAATAACGTTAATATGGAGAATAAATTACAAGAAATAAACCAATTATTGGTTAAAATGAGTGCTAATAAATATTCAATGAATGGATCGACTGATTGGAGACAAAGACCCGAATGTAAAAACATTTTACACAAATTAAAGCATTTATCGATTGAACCAATTGTCGAGAAAAACCATAATTTATTATCAATTGATTTAATTGAAAACAAATATATACTGTTTTATGAATTATTTTTAAATTTTCATAAATTGTCAACTTTTTGTCAATCAATTGATGAAATCAAAGGTAAATATAATTTTTAAAAATATATTATCAGGACAATACTATGAGCTACAGTAATTACATAAACAGATTTGTATTGTGGGGCTACACTTTATCTGTACTTGCATTAGCCTAACACTATTGCGTATAATGCAAGAAAACTAAGGGCATAGTGAAGGGAGAGTAACTTTTTAACCCCATTTTTAATTTGACAAATTCTGTAGTACAACAGCAATATTATAATTTGTAATAGTTTATAAAAAGTAATAGTTGTTGAGCACATTAATGGTCTAAAACATGATTCTTGTCGGGTAGGTTTTTGCTCCCAATTTTAATCTTGCTGATTTATATATATTTTTAATAACAATTCAGATATGAATAATGTGGTTTATAGGACGCCATTACTGATATCCCGCACTGTACTTTATTGTTCAAAACCTATAAATGTTTTCAATGCATGTTTTATGTGCGGCGGTCAAAATTTGTTAAGGTTTTTAATCGGTAACTTTTAACTATGTTTAAGCTAATTATTAACTTCTTATTATAAATAATTTTAGGAATAACTCGTGAAGAATACAAAATAGAAAGATATGAAAGATTGCAACACTTAGGAACCGGTGGTTTTGGTGAAGTATTTACAGTTAAGGCTAAACACAATGGAAAGATACATGCGATTAAAAAATGTCAATTAAATAGTAATAGTTTTAAAATTATCCTAAAATTTTTAAACATGATTGCAATTAAATATTACATTTTTTAAAAGTTTTGACTGCAAAAGAGAAACAAAGTATTATGAATGAATCGCATAACTTAATAAAATTGCGCTCAGAATATGTAATTAAATTTTATTATTCATGGATTCAAAACAACTGTTTATACATTCTTATGGATTGTTTGGCCGGAAATTTATCAGATGTTATAAAGGCTAAGAAAAAATTATTTGGGAGAATAATGACAGAATTTGAATATTATATATCATTTAATATATTTAAACAATTGGTCGAAAGCGTGAAGTATTTGCACAATAAAAATGTGATTCACAGAGACCTCAAACCCGATAATGTGTTGATTGACAACGAAAACAACTACAGATATATAAAGTTATGTGACTTTGGTTTGTCTAAATCTGTAGATGTATTGATTTATCGTTACCGACAAAGTAGTGCTAAACACACCGCAGATGTCGTTCAATATATGGCACCCGAAGGACAGACCACTGAATACAACCATTTAATAGATGTCTATAGTCTGGCACTCATTGGAGCGAAAATATTTGGTTTCGATTCCGAGGATATCAGAGACGGAGTGTATGTTATTATATAACCATTTAATAATTAATAAGTGTTTTTTGGTTTTAGGTTGAATTTCGACTTTCATACTATTAATAACTTTATTTTAAGAAGAAATTTGTCAGAAATATACCAATTATTACTATCAATGAGTGTTAGTATAGAGTATAGAAAGATTGATTGGAAACTAAGACCCGAATGTGAAGTAATTTTACGCAAATTAAAACATTTATCAATTAAACCGATTGTAGAAATAAGCGATTCATTATTTAATAATATAATTGACAATAAATTCACACTATTTTTTGGTCATTATTGTGAATGCCATAAGTTTAATATTATTTGCAAAACAAGTAATAAAAATAATGGTAAATGAATATTGTTCATAAGTTTTATATTTTTACATATTAACTGAAAATATTTGTTTTATAGATATTGTTGAAGTTGTAAATTCCTACAAAAAGCAGCTTGACCAATTTGATGATTCAATCTATTTAAATAAGCTTGTAAAAATAGAAAATAATATAAACAATAACTTTTATTATATAACCAAATGCAGACGACAAAATGGTAAGTAAATAGTTAATATAAACTTTATATGTTAATAGTTTGATATTGTTATAATCTAGCTAAATTAAGATAAAATGTAAACACAAATATAAAATTACTAACATAATATAAGTTCACATTTTTAGGGAACAAGTTAAGTTGTACAAAACATTTTTAAGTTTACATCCGTCTAAATTATTTGAAACAGTTCTAAATTGTTTAATTTAATTTAATTGTTTTAATAATTTTAATCAAATATAATTTATAGATCACAACAAAACCAAAGAAATTATAACAAATATTAGAAAAATTGATGCATTAAAACATAAATATTTGCTACAAATTAATAACTCTTGGATTGAAAACAATGAGATTTACATTGAAATGGAGTTTTGTTCGCAAACTCTATGGGATGTCATAAATGCAAAACACGTGATATTTGGGACACAAACCCATCACTCGTTGGCAATCATTTCAATTGATTTCCTTATTTCACAGCAATTGTTGAGACAATTATTACATTGTATTCAAGCAGTGATTGCTTTGGATATAAACATTGAAAACATTTCACTAAATACGAAAAACATATTTATACAAAATGATATTAGAACGAGTGAATATTATACACAATTATATTGTAAAAAGTATACAAATCTTGGTTTTATTAAAACATTTTCAACTACTCTTCGAACGAACAAAATCACTGAAATCGGAAAAATTGCCAAAAGTTTATTTGAAATACAATTAACACATACTAGGTATTAATTATTACATAAATTAAATACATATATTAAATATATAATAAAATCTAATTAATTGTTACAGAAATGGCTATAAAAATATTTGTTACAAGTCATATATTTTTGCTAATTTTGGTGTAAATACCGATAAAATCCAAAAATTTATTAATAAATTACTGAAGCGATCCGATGATAGAGATATTGTCGATATAATGAGTGAATTTAATCATATTTTTGATGACAATAATAGCAAAATAAACGAAAAATCAATTGATTATAAATTCATTCATAATTTTTTCAAACAAACACAACAAAAACAGTAATGAATTTTTATACAAATATTTTTTATAAAATATTAACAATTAATATATTTTATAACAGATTTACACAAACTATTGATAATAATTATGAGCCACCGGTAAAGAAACCACATAATGAAAGCCCTGTTATGTGATTCCACTGCATAGACTTAACCAAACACATCTAGTTTGAAGCGCCTGTACCGGGAATATAACACTCGGGGTGAATAAAATATTTAAAATGGTTGATCTACAGAATTACGCGTAACACAAGTGCAAGAATTATTCGGGCGGTAATAAACGCAAACTATCGCTAGCTATGTCTCTGATAGGGTAGCCATCTGTCATATTGCTGGACGAGCCCACGAGTGGCGTAGACCCGGTGGCCCCGGCGTAAGATGTGGCGCTATTTAAAAATGTTCACTAATTAATAAACATTTTTATTAGCATATCATACACATAACATAAACCGCCGCAATTGATGCTTATTTTGATAATGTAATACATGTATGTTTTTTAAAAATTAAAAATGTATTAGAAGTAATTTTAAATCCTCAATGAATTTCAAAAAATTTGTCATTAATTTATTGTTTAATTTAGACCATAAGTGTCTTATACTGTATATTACTTAAGGCTCTATATTATTTAAGGATATTAAAAGTTAAACATTATGTTTCATAAATATAAATAATATATGAAAATACAGTACAGAATAACACATTAACTTAATCTCTGGCCTCAACCGACAGATACATAGTTTTCGGCGCTTTCATAACGGGATGTGTTTTGACAATTGGCGGCACTTTTGTGTCCTTATGGACGGCGAACCGGAAGCGACGCAACACATGAACTAACGCCAGCTTTAGCTCCATTAAGGCGAACGCCATTCCCACACAAACACGGGGTCCGGCGCTGAACGGCATGAATGTATACGGCTTTATATTGCGACGATTTTCGGGTAAAAACCTATCGGGAATGAACTGACAGGCGTTCGGGAAGTACTCTTCCGAGTGATGGATGGCGTAAACTAGTATCTCAATCGGCTGTCCCTTCGGCACCACAATCCCGGTTTGGCCCAAAGGGAACTCACGGCCGGGTATTCGCCGGTACTTAACGGGTCCGCCGTGAAGGCGTTGGGTTTCGCTGATCACAGCGTCCAGTAGTGGCAGTCGACACAACTCGTCGTAACCGATCTCCCCGTCGGCGTCCACAGCGGCGGCAATCTCTTCGTAGAGCCGGTGCTGAGCGTCCGGATTGAGTGCCAACTCATAGACACAAAACGACAGTACGTTTGAGATTTGGTCGAAAGCCGTGAAGTATATGAAGAATCCCTGCGCAAGGATTTCCTCTTCAGTCAACTTCTTGTTGTCCGACATATTGTTGTCAAACGTTTTCGCTTTCATTTCGAGACAATTTTCTCCTAAATATACATTTGTTAGTGATTTTCACATCAAAACAAATACTCCAAACTAATCAATATTTAAATTAAAAATGTATTTAAGCGAATTAAGCATTATCTTATTACAATAATTATAAGCCTGTTTTATTAAATTAAATGTGATTGCAAAGTTATGGATAAAGTTTAAATAATAAAACAAAATACTATTAATGGATACCAATGTACCAGGGCAGGAGCACGTAAACTGTAAGATTTTTACTACATTTATATATATAATATACGGACATGTAGGGTACAATTATAAAAAGCATAACAGTACAAAAATTATATTCAAAAATAGCATATTGAACTTTAAAAAAGAAAACTTTAATTATTACCTTGATAATATTTTAAAAAACTAACCTTCAATATCATCGTTAGGCTCGGGTTCGTTGGGACCGAGTTTTGATCGCATGAATACTCCCAAAAAATCAATACTATTCGCCACCAAATGTTCCCTCGCTTTCAACACACCCTTCAAATTATCGCATATATTATCAATAGTTTTCTCATTAAAAATAGACCGCAAACCAAATGCTTTCAACAGCCGTCCCGACAACACCTGTAGGGCCAACAACTTCCACACCGGGAGCACAATCAACGGCCACGCCGTGCGTACAAACGGGTGTCGGGGCTGACTGTAGGGGTCAGTGGCGATACCAAAAGCGCTACGGTTTATAACGCTTAGGGAAAAGCAGCCAAACGTACGCTTGAGCTCACAGGGGCGGCCCTCCCGGGCGTACCCCTCCAACACACTGACCAACTGTTGGTCAACGCATTGCCTGACCAGAGGGTAGTGGCGACGCGTGCGAGCGGTGGTGAACGCCGGCTGTATGGCTGCCCGCATGCGGCGCCACTGTTTGCCCCGAACCGCAACCAGCATGCGGTCGACGATAGGGTGACCAACGTTTGCGATACGGACTTTGGTGTTGAACATCCGGAAATCCTCGACCAATATCTGTTTGATAATCTCCGGATCGCCCACTTGTATGATCGGTCGACTGCCCTCGAAAATGCTTGTGTTATTGTGTAATAAATCATAATTAGTTTTAGTGGTCAAATAATATAATATTTATTTAGTCTAGGATTATTTAGACTATTTGTTAAGTTAAATAATAATATTGTAGTTTTTAGAATTGAATATGGGAATTATTTTCTAAAATCTAGTTTAATTTTTAAACATTGTAAACACTTTAAGCTCTAAAATTTTTAATTTAAACTTAAAATAGTTTCTTTTTATAGGTAAACATTTATTTTTTAAAAATAAGTTAATAAACAGTAATTACCCATAGATTGCACCAAATTGTTTCATTCGCTTCACTTCGAGGTCGGGCTTTGAAACAAAGAGCAGATCCAATAGATTACCGAATATTATCACAGGTTTGGGCCCTTTTAGGCCTAACTTTTTAAAGTAACCAAAATTCTTGGTTAAATGTCTGTTAATAAACATATTAAAGTTAGCCTAACATGCTCAATTATTTATAATTAATTAAAATCTATATTTAAACATTTTAAAAAGATTAATATAAAAATATAATTACATTAAATAAATTAAAATTATGTCAATTTCAATTTTATTCAATAACTTACCTATATAATAAACAGAGAGCGCCCACAAATGCCAGGCCATAGATTGGCCAATAATTTGCTAATAAATACATAACTGTTCCCATCATTTGGTAACACTATTAACAATAGACTTAGTTTCTTATAACAGATATTATGTAAGAATTTTATATGATTTATATATGAAAGAGTATTTATAAAGATCTAATAAAATATAAGTTCTAACTGAACATGGTCGTCACTATTTATACGTCTTAATTTTTAAAAAATAACTGACTGTTCATTATATAATTGTAAAATCATTATATTATTTACTTGTTTTTGTTAATTAATAAATAGTCAGTATTTCGCCAGTATTTCATAATAAATATTTCGCCACATTATTTTATATTATTTTAGTATCACAAGATTAAAATATATTCTTTATGTACTAAATCAATAACTAATATACGAGAGTTGTATTTGTGAATAATAATTAGATTTTTTGAACAAACAATAAAATATTTATGAATATTTTAAAAATATTATTAAACATCAAAAATAATAAGCAATTGTTTAAAAAAATTTACAAATAAATTAAAAATTAAAAGTATCTATAACTTTACATACAATTAAAACAATTAATTTGTAAAAAAAACTTTAATAATATTGATCAATATCAATAGTAATCAATAAGTAAACAATTTTGTAATTCTTTGTTAAAAACAATATTTTTATAATAATCACTGAATAAATTATAAATCAATTTGTATACTGCACATGATCGTTTATTTTTTTTATGTTTGATCTTATTTGTTTTCGAAATAACTTATCTAGTCCATACATGTTAACATATTTTAATCTAAATATTTAATGATAGATCTTTTGGTAAAAATAATGATAAAACATTATTTAGTACTAAAAATTATAAATAAAAATTATTTTAAATTAATTGAAAAAGTTTTTTATTCAAAGGTTTTATTTTAAAAGTTACATGATAATTTACTGTGAGTATTTACATGATAATTTACTTAATTTAGTACCACAAATCATACATATTTAACAATATCACTTTTGATTTTGCACATGTTCATAACAACATATTATACGAACAACTATTATATTACATAATATTCATATTCATAACTTTAGATCCTAAACTTTTTATTAGGTCCGTCAAAAAAATCGTGCGCCTCGAAAATCGTTATATCTCCTAAACGGAATGAGCTAGATCAATTCTGTAAACGGTTAAACAAAGATCCACATGTCTAGTTTTTTGTATCAAAAAATTATTAAAATTACGTGACTAGAACATAGAAATTTTTGGGTCATTTCGAAATGCTATGGTTTTAGCCCATTTGAAAAGGGGGTCGGAAAGGGGCGGGTATGCTATTTGGAAGAGGAGATGTCAATGTATATTATAGCAAAATTTGATTAAGATTAGTTCAGCCATCT